GTGGCATCAGCCCTTTCAGCCTCTTGCGCAGCTCTGGCCTGGGGGCCAGGCAGTGAGGGCAGTGTCCCCTTATCTCCCACGCTCCCTCCCCTCCCTCCTGGTTTCTTGGGCTCTTTAGGCCCTTGAAGAAAACGCCCCCACTCTCATGGCTTCTGGGGCTGTGGGTGCACAGTCTGCTCCCTTGCCGCGAAGGGCTTTGTGGTCGCTGTCGTTTTAACTAAAAAGCTTTTTGGTGGGTTTGGAGTTCTCTGCTGGCCACTGCTGCCTCCGGCCACCACTTAACACTTTGACGCCCATCGGATTTCCTCAGGGTGAGCTTCAGGAACCCAGTGTAAGGATCTGGCTTTTGGCCCAGGCCCTGGAATCTACCCCAGAATTGTTTGCCCTGGGATCTGGAATCTGGGATCTGGGGGGGATCCCCCAGAGGACATTCCTCCAGCCCCCTTATGAACGTCAGATCCTGGCTCTGACCTCCACCAGGGCCGCCCTTTGCAGAAAGCACCTCCCCTTGGTCACCTTTTAGGTCTGCCAAGCTGGCCAGCCAGAGAAGTCCTAGTTTGGATTGGCCTCTGAGCCCTTGGCTCCGGCCACACCCTCCCGGAATAGCAACGCCCTTGAATTCTTCCCAGCTTCAGCTTTTCCTCGTTGGAGGCTGGCTGCGGGCTGATATCCGAGAGGCCCTGCGGATGCAGGGTGGGGGCAGCCAGGTGCCGGCGGCCCTTGACCCTGGGCGGGCACTGACCACCTTTCCTCCACTTACCTCCCAGGTTCCCTCCCACTCAATGTTTTTTTCCAATAAGTTTCCTGATATTTTCGGCTCCCCTTCTCATTTGACCTTTTATTTAACAGCTTCGAGTACAAGAGGCTCCATTGTACATCACCTGCCATCCCAGAGCAGGAGCATTTCTTTCTTCTCCCTGCCTTCAGGCAGGACTTTTCCCAAACCACCCTCTTCCCACCCATCAAGGCATTGAGACTTCTTGGTTTGCTGCGCGTGGCCCTTGGTTGGTGCAGCTTCTGGGGTTGTAGTGCTTGCAAATGGATTTGTGTGGCTGGGCCTGGGGTGGACAAGAGCAGTGAGAGATGTCCATCCCCCTCTTTGGAGTGTCCCAGCACATACACGCTGGATCAGGGCGGGTCTCAATCTCCTTTAGACTCGTGGGATTGCCATAATGTAGAAAGGAGATGAGAGTACAGGCCTGATACACCAGAACAGAGTGTCCTGCCCCGAGCGGCCTGGGGACGGAGGTACTCCTGGTACTCCTGGTTTGGTCTCTCAGAATGTCTGTGCTCCAGCCTCCGGGTAGAGGGGGTGCCTCCTGGGGACTGCCGAGGCCGGGGCTTGGGTCTGACCAGCTGATCCCTGTTTTACTCTGACCCCCTTAGGCACCGCCTGGAAGAGGGCCAGGCCACCAGCTGGTCTCGTCGGCTCAAAGTGTTCCTGTGCTGTACGCGGACGAAGGACTCCCAGTCGGTAAGTTCCTGGGGCCGGCCTCCCTGGCCGCCTCAGAGGGGCGGGTGGGCAAAGCTTGGGGAGGGCCGACGGGGCCTCGTCACGAGGCGGGGGCTGACCCCCGTGGGGCAGAGCCTTTACCACGGAAGCTGCCCGACAACAGTCAGCAGCGTGTCACGACAGAATGTCATGGGATCGTGGAATAGGAGAGGCGCGTGGCCGCCCACTGCCACCTGCCAAGGGAGGTATTCCTACCGGTACCAGTTGGAGAGCGCTTTGCAGATATCGTTTCCTCCTCACTCTCACCTGAGAGATTGGTGCTACGATGATCCCCATTTTACAGATGAGAAAACTGAGGCAGGGTGACTTGCCCAGGGTCACCCAGCTAATCAGGGTCTGAGGCTTGATTTGAAAGCAGGTCTTCCTGGCTCCTGGCCTGGCGCTCTGTGCCCTGACTTTAGATCATAGAATGTTAACTCCTGAAGGGCCCTTAGAACAGAGGACGTGATGTTGTCCCTCAGAGGAATCTTAGAACCTAGAACACAGAATGTCAAAGCTGGGAGGGACCTTGATCCTGAAATGGGAGGGGCCTCAGGACATAGAACAGAGAATGGGGGGGATGGGCCAGAGAACCTAGAATGTCAGAATTTGTAAGGACCATGGGAACCTGGAAGGTCAGAGTAAGGAAGGAGCCTTAGAACATAGAACAACAACAAAAAAAAAAAAATTAGAAAAAAAGAACATAGAACAAAATGTTGGAGGCGGGAGGGGCCTCAGGATATAGAACAGAGAATGTCAGAGGTGAGAGGGATTGTCAAGGAGGCCACCTCCTAATTTTACTGATGGGGAAATGGGCCCAGGGAGGGCCAGGAAAGACCTCCTGCAGGAGGTGGTGTTGGAGCTCCTTCTGGAAGGAAGCCACAAAGGTAGGAGGGCACTTCAGGTGTCAGGGACAGCCAGGGCAAAGGCTCAGAGTCAGGGGATGACTGATGCGCCGTGCGTTTGGGTCACAGAAGGGGGAGAGGGGACCAGACTGGGAGGACTTTAGATGCCCAATCCTTGATCCTTGTGGTAACAGGGAACCACTGGAGTTCACTGGCTACAAGGTTGTCGCCCCTGGGCCTTGGCTGCCCGGGGGCACTCAGCTAGGAAGCCCCTGTACTAGCCCGGAGGACAAGCAATGAGCTATATTAGCTCTCTGTGACAGACGGGACAGGTGTTCAGTGACCTCCTGATAGGAGGCCTCAGGGCAGGCTTTCTGGAGGAGGTGGCTTTTATGTTGGGCCGTTGGCCGATTGGATGCCCAGGCTCTCTCTTCTTCTCGCCCCTTTCTCCTCCTGTGCTCCTCTCCCGTCCTCCTCCCTGAATTTCTCAGGATGCCTACTCCGAGATCGCCTACCTCTTTGCGGAGTTTTTTCGGGACCTCGACATCGTGCCGTCTGATATCATCGCGGGACTGGTGCTTCTGAGGCAGCGGCAGCGAGCCAAGCGCAATGCGGTACTGGATGAGGTGAGCGATGCCCAGGCTTCCTCGCTCCTCCTGCGAGGCCCCCCCATTCTCCCACCCTCCACAGGTAGAGAGCCCTGCCTTCCCCATTCGCTGCCAGGCTTCCTGTTGCTCCCTGAAGGGCTCCCCTTGTGAGCTGAGCGTTCACAGAAGCTAGGCAACAATAAATGTGAAAAGATCTGGGGGTCTTAGGGGACTAGCGGTGTGACATGGCTGCCACACAGGTCAGCGCCCTTCCCATACCCTCTCCCCAGCTGGGTCCCAGCCCCAAGGTTACATCTCCTCCACCTGCTCCCCAGGCTGCAGGGGGACCCCGCCCTGCTTGGCATCTTTTGTCTCCCCACACTTCTTTCTCAGATCTACTATAGGACAAGTCTTTGGGCCTGAGACACCTCCTGCCCAGTAGGTTCAAGCCTTTGGAAGTCAGGGATTCCAGGATGTTTGAGGCATGCAGTTCTGGGAAGTCGAGTCAGACGAAGGCACCCGGGCTCTGTGGTCTGCTAGTTCTGTGGTTAGCACAGGCTGTGGGGCGAAGGAAGGCCGAGGCTTCGTCGTTGGGCCCTTAGGATGATTCCTTAGCCGTGCCCAGGTCACTGAGCAGTGACATGGGAGAGGGCCCTGCTTTCCTCAGTCTGGGGGCCAGGTGTTGAGGAGGGATGCCTGGATCGTCAGAGGAGCCTGGAAGGAAGCGTCTCTCAGCTCCGCTGCTGGGCGCCTGCCCCGGGTGACACAGGGTTCTCCCGACGCCTCTGCGGGGTGCTTCCTTTAACCCACCCGGCCTCCTCATGTGCCTCTGTTACAGGCCAACAACGACATCTTGGCTTTCTTGTCTGGGATGCCTGTAACCAGAAACACCAAGTACCTGGACCTAAAAAACTCGGTGAGTCCAAAAAATCGCAGTGACATCCAGAAGGTCCCGCCTGCAGGCGCTTCACAGCCTTCTTCCCCCTCTCTCCCCAAACTGGACGTGCAAGTGAAGCGCAAGGTCCCCTTGCTTGCTCCATGACATGGGTTCCTCACCCTCCCTGCCATGGCCCTGCTTCCCAAACCGGTCTGTCCACCCCCCGCCCTCTTCAGGCCCAGCTAACCAGCCTCGCAGGGTACATTCCACTGTGACAGGCCGTGGCCTTCTGAACTGAAGACCATGAGAAAAAATGAAGCCCAGCTTCCTAAACCCGATTCTTCTTTCCTCTGGTCAGCATTTCTTAAGCCCCTAGTGTGTGCTAAGCACCGTCCTGGTATGGGGGACACAGGAGGAGAGACCCTGACATCCCGCTCATGGTGTTCTGGCACTGGTCCGGTCATTCCCAGCCTCCATTCCTGTTCTCCAGACCTTTACCTGGTTCCCTCCTTTGCGCCGCTTGCCCCAAGGCCACCTCCCATGTGTCTTGGCCCAAGGCTGAGGAGCTCGCCTCCCACGCCCACTGCCCCGGCACAGGGGGCAGCTAGCGGCCTGCTGCCCGTGTCACTGCTGCGCCATCCCTTCGAGCCCCTGAGCGGCCTGCCAGAGACAGTCTGTCAGAACCGGAGACGAGGCCCGTCCCAGGGCGGGAGCTTCCTTCCACACACAGAGCTGATAATTATCTTCTCTCCCCTTGTTCCTGAAGAGCAGACGATGATTCCACCCCTCTGGGGCCCTGATTAAGGAGCTGCCTACTTAACTTTACAAGATGACTAATGCCCTCTTTACACCTTTTACAAGGTGACTAATTCTCCTGAAGGAGGCACAGGGCGGTTGCCTTGCCCAGGGCTCCAGGGCTCTCAGGCTGAGCCCCTGGCCTGTTGTCAGGAGCCACTCCCAGGAGCCTTGCCATCCCAGTGACATTCACTTAAATAGCAGGAGCGAGCAAGTTCATTCCCGGAGGCTGGCTTCTCCCCACATCCTCTCCGGGAGGCGAGCCCTGGCCTGGAAGCCGCTGGCCAGGGACCTCCGCAGCCTCTTCCGCCTCGAGACCCTCCCTGGCCTCCGTTTCCTCCTGTAGCCCAGAGCCGTTGTCTCCTGTGTCCTCGCAAGAGCTCGGACAGAAGACCAGGAGCGGGCTCATTCTCTTTGTTTTAGAAAGAAACTGAAGGCCGCGTGTCCTCGGCCACTGGGAAGCGACTTGGCCTGGTCATGCCACAGTGAAGCCTTGCTTTGGGCCCCTCCCCCAAGACCCCGTGGGGCCCTGACCCTCGGGGCAGGAGCGGTGGCTGGGCAGGAGACGTTCCTTGAAGCCACTCGCGGAGTTTTCTGTGTCTGTGACTCGTCTTTGTCTGTCTGTCTCCTCAAGATGGTTCCCAAAATCGAGCCAGTGCAGAGAGGGTTTTTGGTCCCCAAATCATTAATCCCGAGATTGACGCAATAGGACAAGTCTCTGTAGGATCGACGACCTCATTGCACGGAGATAATCAGAGAAATGCAATTACTGTCTTCACCAGCACCCCCTTCTCGCTCTCCTCAGGCCTCACTCCATGTGTCAGCTCTCAGAGTCCTTCCCTGTCAACGCGGGCCCTTGAGGTCCCTGGCCAAGGAGCGGGGCGGGCTGCTGGCTGAGGAGGAGCGGCTCAGGCACCCCGAGCCAGGCTCTGACGCTGCTGTCCCTGTTCTCTTTCAGCAAGAGATGCTTCGCTACAAAGAGGTCTGTTATTACATGCTTTTTGCCCTGGCTGCCTATGGTTGGCCTATGTACCTGATGCGGAAACCCGCGTGTGGGCTCTGCCAGCTGGCCCGATCCTGCTCGTAAGTGTGCGGCAGCGCTCCCTTGCCTTTGCCCCCCCTTCCCTTCTCTTCTCTTCTGGTCTTCTCTCCCTTCCTCCTTCCTTCCTCCCTCTCTCCCTCCCTCCTTTCCTTCCTCCCTCCCTCCCTCCTTCCTCCCTCCCTCCTTCCTTCCTCCCTCTCTCCCTCCCTCCTTTCCTTCCTCCCTCTCTCCCTCCCTCCTTTCCTTCCTTCCTCTATTCTTTCTTCCTTTCTGAGAGCTGACGTCTTTGCTCCATGTCTCCCTTCTCCACAGTCCTCTTCTCCCCTCCTTGGGAGGTGCCCTGCGTCCTGTGGTCTCCCTTTCTGAACCAAGCAAACAAACAATAAAACCACGAGTGAAATCTGGTTTTTCCAGGAGTGCCCCCAAGCCCAGACATTTTCCCCAGGCCCTGAGACAGACCTCATATGAAACTCTGTCTCCCTCCTCTGACCCACTTTGGAGCATTCCAGTTGGGCTGGGAAAAGCGTCCGGTCGCTCTGCAGATGTCGCCTCCTTGACCTACTCCCGTGTTCATCCCATCCCTGGCTGGCAGACCTGCCCCCCTCTTCCTTCCCCTCCAAGGACAGACCCTCCTAAGTGGACCAGGACACTCTGCCCTCCCACACAAGTGCTCCATTTCTTCCCATAGCAGCTGAGGCACTGAACTAGGACAGCTCTCTGGGCCCCGTTCTGGCAGTGAGTGATGGCGGTGAAGGTCATTGCCATCCAGAGCCGAGGTCCTTGAAGCTACTTCCTGCCCTCAGTAGCTGCCTAACCCCTGCCCTCAGCCCCAAGGGCAGCATCTTGAGCACACCCCCCAGGCCACAGCTGGCCTCCAGAGTAAGCCTTAGATCACCCCCATCCTGAACCAAATGCTGGGCCTGGCCTAGGATTTGTGTCAGTCAGCTGTCCGTCCCCATCGAATGTGAAAGCAGGAAATGAGCAGGGTGGGGCCCGAGAGCAGAGGGCAGAGGATATCAGGGGGGCTTAGAACATGGAGTGTCTGACCTTAGACCAGAGCAGAGGATGTTGGGGGTCTTAGAACATGGAGTGTCTGACCTTAGACCAGAGCAGAGGATGTCGGGGGGCTTAGAACATG